CATCGAAGAGGATATCGCATGTAGTGCTGATGCTTTAACTTATGAGTTATTCACATTCAAATGCGAATGTGAACGAACGAAATGCAGATTTCATTTTAACAACCGAAAATAGAAAGTTTATTCAGGTTTTCTAGTCTGTTTTATCAACAATAGAAGTTTTCCGGTTAAATTAATAGAATGTTCATATTTCATGTTTCCAGCATGTTGATGAAGTGATGTTTCCGAATCTGTGTTTCATTCATGATGATGATTTAAGTATAGATTCATGTGTGTGTTCGCGATTCATGTGTGTGTTGGTTGTTTTTTGTTGGTTCTGATATGGTGGGATGTGGTTATTTTATTGTGCGTTCTGACATGTTCATCGTCAACATCGTTGGTTTTTTGATGTTGGTGCACTTAATTGGTCATTTTTACATTTCAGCTTAACAGCGCAAATGTCGGGGAAACGGATTGCGTTTTCAGTACTAATGTACTGTGCTTGGTTAGTTATTGGAGTGAGCGGTGCGTTCGGGAAAGGCATGGATGATTCGATCATGTTCAGGTGGAAATTTTCTTGAGTTCAATGTTTGCGTTCTTGAATTATTTCACGAATTCATTTTCTTTTATTATCCCGTTGTGCTATACTCTTCGAAGAGTTGTATTGCTGGAAGAAGCATGACTGTCGCCTAATTTTTTCCATGTTGAAGCTAGTTGTGGAAATCAAGAAGTGCTATGAAATACCGAATCATCTGCGTAATACAGTTACCAAAAAGGTTTTTCGTTGTGCTGGAGAAATCCTTCAAGTTGGTGCCTAAAAAGCACGGAGCTCCGCTCAGTGATAAGAAAATTCTACTCATATTTTGGATCATTTTGAACCGTTTGATAACTTCAGAATAGACTGGAGGTTATATTCCTCTATGCCAGATAATCTGAATTCCCTCGAGGCAGGCGCACTTCGAAGCAATCAACCATTTGTGTTCATATCGAGCGGTAACGACGAAAAATATCTATGCGAAATACCTGACGTTTCTGCAGAGGTTCGCATCTTTTATCATTTTGCACCGGAACGTAATTCGTAACGTTCTCCCCTCTCTAGCTATTTTTACGACTGTTTTTATGCGCTACCACTATATGGCCATCGTTATTACTTGTTAACGCCAGTGCTATATGTTTCTTAAATTTGTTATGTAACGATTCAGTTTATAACTTCTGTCGCAAATAATTTCTCGCATTTGAATGAAAACTGTGTTGTCAGTGTTTGAGTGGATCACATACTCAATTCCATTCAATAACAGTTAATTAGATAATTGATAGAATCTGGATCACAGCCTGGCTCAGGCTCACAACATTAATGATATTGGTACACCACTCGGTTTCGAGCAAAACTTTCCTCCGCGAACTTTCTTCACGTTTACGGAGGAAAGTTTTGCTCGGAACCGAGCGGTGTATCAATATCAATTCCGTTTAATCAGCTCTCCATCAGTGCTTCACGCTAAGAAAGATGATTGCAGCCAAAACGAAAGATCGACTCATATTCTGGTCCAACACCAGGTGAGTTGATTCGAGTATTGTATGATGAACGAATATGCTCTTATTGGCTAGATCTATATTGGACGTATGAGTTGTGTCATGGAAGATATGTGCTGCAATATCACGATGATAAAGAAACAATTGGGAATCCAAGAACTGAATATTACTTGGGTAATTTCCGAAGTGAACACACCAAAATGGTTAGGGTTTCTCATTATCTGTTAGATTCGTTCGTGTATACAGAAGTTTTGTTGAATAAAGACATGTTCAGTTAAGCCTCATCCATCCTGTTTCAAATCGTGTAAATAATGTTTTTTTAACGAGTGGAGTGAGTTTTCGAGTAACAATTTAGGCAAAACCAATTGTGTTCTTAGCAATGTGCTGATTTCATCATCCACGTGAAGTGCAATTTCGGATGTGATGTGTCTGATGTTACTATGCATTATTTGTTTTGTATTCTTGGCTGTGAGCAGTGCGTGCGTTTTGCAGGATGATAAAGGCTTCGATCAGCTGAATCCTCCCACAAAGAAAGTGGATGATGTCGACTTGCCGTACTATCCCGTCAGTTACCGTCAAGGAACAGTCTGTGATCTGACTGGTAAACCACGAACGACTACCGTTCTGTATGTATGTCGTTTGGTAAGCGAATTGCTGCTCGACGTTTCCACTTTAAAAAGAATTCGAATTTCGATTCCAGCAGCCAGAAATGTTAATGATGAGGAAATGTGCAGTGATAAATGACAGATAATTGTGAGTGATGAATTAAATTAAAGGATGCGAAAGACCAGATCTATTCATTTGCTGAAATCTCATCGTGTACATATGAAGTGGTTGTCTTAACACGTCGTCTTTGCTCACATCCGTCGTTCCAACCGATTATCGTACCACAACACGAGATTATTTGTTATTCAAGAGACGCGAATAAAAAACTCTCGAAACCGATCGCATTGATCGCGCACGAAAATGAGCGAGCTAAATCGTTTGAAAAGGTTACTTGCCTCATCCTCGTGCATTGCACTTCTTAATCTCTCCACCTTTCGCACTGTAACAACTACCACTATTTCGGCGACTGGTTGTTGGCTTGTTGCTTTAGTATGACCGACGACTAACGATCTTTTTACATTTTTGACCACTTGGATTGTATATTATTATGGCTGTGATAGCATCGTGTATTGTGATTGGTTGGCTGTATAGCCGTAATCGATCTGCGGGGCACTGTTTTGAGTTGATAAGTTCGTAAAAGATGATGAGATTAGTTTGCATTCCAGGAGTACGGTTTGATACCACCACAAAGTTTGCAGTCAGATATGGTGATGCCGTCGAGAAGGAACGAGGATGAAGAAGAGGACGAAGACGATTCTGACGGTACAACAATTATTCTACCGAAGCAGACTGCTGGTTTGTTACGCCTATTAACCGTTGTCGAATCTTATTGTTCATTAGTTTGGCAGATAGCTGTCAAAACGTTAATCACATCGGTATTGCGGATAGGTGTAAGATGTTGTGGAATGAGGCAATTTGAGCCGTATTCACTTGCCTTTTGATTGGATAAGTTCACAGAGGGAAGATTATTTCGTTATGTGAGTCACATTCTGTTCTATTCGTGATGAAATCATCGACGCTGATTGTTATTTTAGGTAATGATTTCAGTGAGGTCGATAAGATTTGGTTTGGATCGATTTATTTGCGTGTTTTTATGAATTAGACAGTCACCAGTAGTTTATTCTCGCGCCGTATGATTGATTCTTCAGAAGCGATAGTTTTTTATGGTTTCAACCCTTGAGTGAGTTGATTTTTGAAGATCACGGCCGTTCGAGCAAACCAACAAAGAGCAGTGAAAAGGAGGGGTCCTCTACAATCGATCATCGCGTAGTAGTGCCGGATGACAATGAATTTCTGAACGGGAAGCAGTGCTTATATGGTGGTGGATCGGGCTGGTGGAAATATGAGTTTTGTTATGGCAAGAAAGTGATACAGTATCATGATGACGCAAAGGGAGGACGAGACGAGGTCGTGCTTGGAATCTTCAACGAAGAGATTCATAAGCAATGGATACGAGAAAATCCACAGAAACAGCCGTTAAAAGTATGTGCCATCTTTTTAGCTAACATTTTGGTGAATGTTTCATTCACACCGTTTTTTCTTTCAAGAATTGTTTTTGCTTAACCTATCTTATACAGCTCAATAATATAATATACGTTTCCGTTGCGCAATAATTCAACCGTTAGCTGTTGAGTATTGTAGCGAAGCATTGACTTCATTCAGTAAGTCAGTAGGCTCTTGATGAAGCCATATTGCGATTTAATGCTACAGTAAGTGATTTGGTATTGTTAATTCGTTAATTTAATTTATTACAGATCGATGGCTATGTGATATTAACATCACATATTTATACTGGTGGTGATGTGTGTGAAGAGGAGAATATTCACAGGTTCGTCGTTGGTTTTGAGGGTTTATTTGGTTGATTCTTCATCATTTTTGATAATCTTCATCATTCACCTTCTCACGGACTACTCCAATTGAGCCGTGTCTAAGTGAGGTTACCACATCCAGGAGAAGATTCATCACTTCCACATGCTCATACTTAATCCGTCACAGTTTTATCGAAGTTTATCCTGCCGATATATATTTGTGCAATTTCTGTTCAGATAGTGCTAGTTTTTGCGATTTTTGAAGTGTTTAGCTGCAACCGTTTCCAAGCTTTCGTTATCGTTTGATCTATTCGGTTTTTGACTTCTCTCCTCTTCCTCTTGACCAGATGCATGATCATTGGGTTATCGTTGAGTCATAAAATTCGATTCATTCTAATGAGTATAAATCTTTTCAGAAGTGTTGAAGTACGAATTCGATGTCGTCCATCAGAAGGCAGTCAGAGTGCTGTTACATTGTTCCTTCTGGAACCGCATACATGCCAATATGTCTTGGGTGTCGAGTCTCCACGTTTTTGTGATTTACTTCAGGAGGTGGATGAATTCGGTCTCTTACCTAAACCCGAACACAGTCATTTTGGAGAACTGTAAATGCCTGCAGGTGTAACTTTTGCCTAGTAACTTTGGTCTTTCAGTTGAATTTGAGCTGATGATCTATTGAAAAGTTTTGAAGAGTTTTTGTATTCATCGATGTGGAGCGTCATTTTTAGAGTGCATAAACTATGCTGCATTTATAATCGCGATTCGTTTCAAATGTCCTCAGAACTGGTATATCTGAGTGAGAGTATTTGTTCCGTGTGAACAGTTTTCGTTGAGATTCAATCGTTATACTTAATCGATTTAACTGAGCGGTTGTAAATAGATCTTTTTTTTGTGTTTACAGTCGATTCATTATTGATATTCTTGGGTTTTGGATTACTTTGTTTGTGATATTACGTTTGCTTTTTTGTATGTGTTTAAATTAACTCATGTTCTTCTTGCCTTATTTTCGCAGAAACGATACTGTGTACCTTTATGCAGCCGATCGTCAACTAAACTTCAGTTCCGTTCATGCGACACTTAAATTAGAATTCCTGGAAGAATTTCTCTCCGGTCTAGGTTTCATTCGATGCAGTTTTTATGCTGAGCTCTGCATATCAAAACGAAACCTCGATGCTTTTGGTGATTGATATTCTGAACTATTCGGACGAAATGTATACGTTTCATCTGCCCAATTGCCGTTTTACAAGTGATTTGTGGTCTGCAATTTGCCTTTTAAAATAATTTGTGACACTCTTCTTTGCGATATCTTATTTTGTTTATTTAATGTCGTCGCGTTTCCTATTGATCGTGAGTGAATTATTTTCTAAAACATTTTGATGTCACTCAATGAGACCAATAATTGACTAATTGATGAGAAACAACGCAAAAACAAAACTAATCAGGAGTAATGGATGAAGTGAAATTTGTGTAGGGGTTGTATGTGTATGTGTTGTATTCAAGAACAAATCCAGTAATACTCATTATTGCCTTCATCGATTTTCACACACAACCCAGTTACATGATATGTATGTATGCTTATTTAGATGTCTATTCCACCACGCTGGAATGTTTTTTGCTCTAATCATTTGCACCATTCTCAATGGTTATAAAAGGGAAAGATGTTTGAAAATTTTGCATGCTCTCAAGTGAGGAATTGAACGCACTGTGATAGGGTGAGCAGTCTTCTTCTTGGAAGTTTATGCAGTTATGCGAACTCGCTGATTGTGAGTTATTCACTCGAATTTTGTTTATAAATCGTTGTTTCGCATTATTGTGGTTGTTGCATTTTCTTTTCGGTTAATCATAATTTTTGTTTTCTCTCTCAAACTTTCTCCCTCTAATCGGTTGTGATATAAATTTGCGTTTAAAATATAGTTTTCTTTGTCTTTTGTTTTGTCGTATTTTTTTTAAATTATTCGTTTACTGTTTATAAATCATTTCTTATTCAGTTGATGATTTGAGCTACGTGAAAATTCATGATGTGGGTTGATTTATAAGTTGTGTTGGGTTTGTCATTTGAGGTTTTTCGATGTTTCGATATGATCGTAATGAAGTGACTAAAATCTTATTATCTAGGATTATGTCATAATTATTATCATTATTACTATTGCTATTGTAATCGTTGTTTTTGATTATCCTTCAACGCGATTCTTGTGTGATTTATTTATTCGCTTGTCTTACTTCCATTCAAAATTGTTGTCATTGCAGTTTTTCATTTCAAATTCATACTGTGTCTCCATCAATTTATTGTTTGGTTTTTGTGTGTAATTATATGGTTTGGGTGTAGTAAAGTTTTCTTTTCCTTCAATGGTTTGCCTCGTTTTGCTGATATTGCTAAGTATTGACGGCTCTGTGCAGCACTCTGTGTTTATTTAGCAAGATTCAATTTTTATCATAATTCCAAAGAGAGTCTCCGTTTCTCTTTGCTGACTTTTCCTCGCGCTGTTCGGTGGTTCGCTTGGGCGATATCAAAGCATTTGCGCAGCTTGTGTGAGATGAGTTAGTTCTGCATCGTATTGATCAGACAACAGTGAAAATAAAATTACGTGAGTGTGTTTGATCGTTGGGCACTAGTATATCTTGCTGAGTTGGCGATTAATATATCTTGTTGGAGTGCCGTTTTTAAAGGGTACAGGTCTGCCAGGGGGTTAAAGTTATGTTGCGATTAATCGAAAGTATGGAAGCAAAACAGAGTTACTGTGTTGGGGACGGCTACATCTTGAGAGGATTTTATCATATCATATGGAAGAAGCACGCCTGCTCTCACTATTAATTATCAATAGCAGAGACAGATACCACCGAGCTACATGTCAACTTCAGCGAAATAGCGAAATAACTATTTTGCGAGTAGCTGTTCCGCCATTCCGCTAATTACCTAAAATTAGCGAATAACGTGCTATTGTCCATCTCTGAATAGAAGTATTATGCATTTACGTAGATAATTTTCATGGGGAGAAAAGCATTTCCACGTGGGGGAATATTAAGGCGACAGCGGAGGTAGCTGAAGAGGCTTGCAAATTAATTTCGATTTAGTGGCGATCCAGTATATGAGCGAAGTGAGGGAGGTAGGGAGTGTGAGTATGATTGATTTAAAGTGTTCAACTGTTCAGGTATTGGTTGGCATTGCAAAGATGTCAACAAGTGCAAATGAACCACAAGAAATTGTGGAGAACTTTCAGAAGTTACGCGAACAACAACAGGATATAGCGAATGAAATCAATAAGGTGGATGAGGAAACTCGAGAGCATAAGTGAGTTGCCGAAGAAAGTCTTTTAACAACTCTATCACATCTCACTCATCTCTATGATTTTTTGGTGAGAGGATTACCTTTCAGAACGGAGGCCGCAAAATTGAATTTTGTCACTCTCTTAAAGATTTTCTTTGTTGTGACGAAAATTCAAATATTTCTTTCGTTGTTATAATCAAATTTGAATCGATTACAAATTTGAGACGTGTGATCGAATTGTTAGAGAAAATGCCTGAGGACAAGAGGTGTTATCGAGTGGTCGGAGATACATTAGTGGAGTATCATGTCAAAGACATTCTGCCGGAACTCAGTGATAATGTTAAAAGTGTACGTGTGAATTCGATCATTTTTTCCCATCAAATCTTTCGACTTGAATGAACCTACTGCATCTTTAACGTGAACGAAGAATTAGTTGTTCATTCGTTTTGTCTCGATTGATTT